TGGTGGTTGTTTTAAGCCACTACATTTGGGAGTATTTTGTTAGGTAACAAAAGGTAACTGAAGCATCTCTCCTTCACACTGGGGGGCTGAACTCTCCAGAGAAATCCTCTTCACAAATCATCTTCCCTCCAGGCTCTAACCATTCAACTTTCTACACTTTTGATAAGGGTAAAAGCTTCAAAAGCCATATACAGTTTTCAGATAAATCCTTGAAAATTTGCACCTGATCTGGCATCTCACTTTGAAACATGATGTTGAGTATATCTTGGTGCTTCAAACACATTAAAATTCTGTTAGGGACTTCCCTGCTGCTCCAGTGGTAAAGAATCTGCCTTCCAATGCAGGGGACGTGGGTTCGATCCCTGGTCAGGGAGCTAAGATCCCATGTGCCTCGGGGCAACTAAGCCCACGCGCCACAAGCGCCTCAAGGAGAGAGCTCGCGTGCCGCAAACTACAGAGCCCACGTGCCACAACTAGAGAGAGAAAACGTTCATGCCACACCTAGAGAGAAGCCCGATCGCCAAAACGAAAGATCACACATGCCTCAACGGAGGTCCCGCGTGCCGCAACTAAGACCCAAGACAGCCAGATAAATAAATATATAAATTTTTTTTAATTAAAAAAAATTCTGTTAGTATATAGTTATATATCCTTATGTATTATAGACAAGCTAATTTACCTTTTCATCCCCGTACCTTTCTACTACCACTCTTTTTTTTTTTTTAACATACTTATTGGAGTATAATTGCTTTACAATGGTGTGTTAGTTTCTGCTGTATAACAAAGTGAGTCAGCTATACGTATACATATATCCCCATATCCCCTCCCTCTTGCGTCTCCCTCCCACCCTCCCTATCCCACCCCCCTAGGTGGTCACAAAGCACTGAGCTGATCTCCCTGTGCTATGCAGCTGCTTCCCACTAGCTATCTATTTCACATTTGGTATCTACTACCACTCTTTTATCACGCGTGCTGGTGGTGGTGGCGACTTTATGATTTTACATGGGGGTGACAAACCCCAGGAGAAATGAGTATCTCCCGGAGATGGATGCGGTGGCTGAGAATCTGGGTCTGCACTTTGGGGGAAGGGGCAGGAATGTGTCCCTTGCGTGGGGAATGGTCACTGCCACGCAGGAGCATGTGGCTGCAGCTCCGGCGTCCCTACCGGAATGGGCTGGGACATGGGGTGTTTCCCATAGCGGCAGGCAGGGCCCTGGCCTTGTCACGTCCAGGCCTCCTTCTCTGGCCCTGTAGGGTTTCTGCAGACTTCCCAACAGCCGAGAGCAAATGCCTCTCTGCTTAAGCCAGCCAGCCTGGATTCAGGCGTCTGCCACGAAGACCCCAGGTTACTCTGTGGGTGGTATTATTATTCCAGGCTTACACTTAAAGGCACCCAGTCCCACTGTCCTCGTGCGAGCCAGACTTGAGAAGCGCGTCTGTCCGGTTGGTGGCTCGGCCGTGCCCCTGGAGAGGGGGCCTGACATTCTGATAGGAAGGACTTTCGGTGCCGGGGAGATAAGCAGAGCAGCTCAGAGTGCCAGTCCCTGGGTCACTGAGGATGGTCTCCCAGCGTTGGGGAGGGATGCACTTCTGGGGCCACACCAACGGCTCTGAGCGGCCCGGTCCCGGGACCACCCACCTTAAAGGCCATCGCTGCTGACTGGCTCCCGACCCCATGTTGGGGCTTTTACAGCCCAGGCGTGACCTCCAGGGTGCAGCAGCAGCAGCTGGCCTGGCCCCCTGTCCTCATGCCACCTGGTCCCTGAGTCCCACCCACTCCTTGCCGAGTTGCCGAGGCTCAGGCCACCCTCGTGTTCCACTGGGCCACGCTCCTTGGGTCCTGCTCTAAGATGTCCCAGAAGTCTGTGGTTCAGGCCGCCTCTGCTGAATGGAAACCACCCCTACCGCCAACAAGGGTGCAGTGTCCCGGCCACCTGCCCGCCTTCTGCAGGCGCCAGCCCAGGACACCCAGCTGGGCCAGGCTGAGCGCAGGGACAGAGCTACACTGAATGGCACGATTGTCCTCTGCACCCAGAGCCCCAGGAGGCTCCTGAAGGAGCAGAGGCACCTCGTCTGCACACGGCTGATCATTTCACGAGCACACGGAGCCCTTGGTGTAAGCAAGGTGTCCTCAAGGGATGTGATGGGACTGCAGAGCCGAGGCCCGGGAGCGATGCTCAGTGGAGAGAGGGGTGCACCGGGGTCCTGGCTCCTCTGCCTGGGAGGGTGGCTGCTGCCTCCGCAGACCCCGAGCCCCGCCTTCCCGCAGCTCCCGAGAGAAAAGTCAGGGAAAACACACATCAGAGTGGGCACCCTGCCCGCAGCATATGGAAGACGCTCCAGGTCAGAGACCTCGCTCAGCCCCTGACCCGTGGGACCCGCTAACTCGTGTGACCTTCTTGAGCGTCGGTCTGCTCTTTACTTTTAGTAAAACAGAGTGACCCTCCGTGCCAGCCTCACACAACTAAGGATTGCGTTTTGTGTGTTCCACGTGGCCTGGCAGGGTGCCTGGTAAACATGTCACCAGGGGAATGGGCAGGGCTGGGCAGAGCCCTTGGTGGTGTCCTGGGCCCTGCACCCCTTCCCCACCCCCACTGCTGCATGGCCATGACCAGCCATTCAGCAAAGGCTTCCACACGGCTCTAGAAGGAGCTGACGGGAATAGACGCTGCCATCTAGGAGCCCACTGAGCTAAAGGTGGGACCCGTGGGCGTGGTCCCCTCGGCCCCATTTCCTCTCGTTGCGACCCCAGACACACCCAGCCTGCCCCCCGGGCTTGCTCTTCCCCGTGTCCACGCACGCTCAGGTGTGCAAAAGGCTCAGCAAGGGGGGCACACCACACCCCAGCCCCATTCTGAAGACCACCGTGTGCCAGATGTTTCTGCTGGAAGTTGGAAGCTGGAGCCAGGGCTCAGCAGGAGAGAGGCCTGGGAGTGGGGTGGGTGCTGGATGCCGAGGACCGGAGAGGGAGAGACAGACACCGGGGTCACGGAGGGGCTGCAAGATCCACGGGGGGAAAAGGAGGAGCCTGAGCTGCTGCCAAGAAGACCCTGGAGATGCAGACCAGTAAGAATTTGAGCCTCGAATGAATGGAGAAGGATGTGATGTACATATATATGCAATGGAATACTACTCAGCCGTAAAAAAGAACGAAATAATGCCATTTGCAGCAACATGGATGGACCTGGAGATTATCGTACGAAGTGAAGTAAGTCAGACAAAGAAAAATACCATGTGATATCACTTATATGTGGAATCTAAAATACGACACAAATGAACTTATCTACAAAACAGAAAGAGAATCACAGACATAGAGAACAGACTTGCGGTTGCCGAGGGGCGAGGTGGGGTGGAGGAGGGAGGGATTGGGAGTTTGGGATTAGCAGATGGAAGCTAGTATATATAGAATGGATAAACAAGGTCCTACCGTAGAGCACAGGGAACTCCTGTGATAAAACATAATGGAAAGAATATGAAAAAGAATATATATATGTATAACTGAGTCACTTTGCTGTACAGCAGAAAGTAACACAACATGGTAAGTCAACTATACTTAATAAAATTGGCGGTGGTGGGATGAATTGGGCGATTGGGATTGACATGTATACACTGATGTGTATAAAACTGATGACTAACAAGAACCTGCTGTATAAAAATAAGTAAGTAAATAAATAAAATAAAATTCTTCAGATCGTAAATCTAAAAAAAATAAAAAGAATCTGGGCCTCCAGCGAGGCGAGGCTGGGCCCATCAGGGCAGACCCGAGCCCGTCGGGTGCACAAGGCCGGCCACACGAGGGCGCCACGGCTCACCTCTGCTCCCTGTTCCTACCCTAATGGAAAACAATTGCTTTTACTCTGCTGCAGAAAAACAGCCTTGTGAAGATGTGAGCTTCCCAGTTAAGCTGTTTGTATGAAATTGTAGTAACCTCACGTTTCTGCATCGTCCCAAGAAGCTGGAGAGAGAGAGCGCACATGGACCCCACATGTGTACTCACAGGCCCCAGGGCCTCCATGGAGGCTGCTCTGGGTAACGGAACGGTCAGAAAAGGGTGACGGAGCAGCACAGGTAGCAGGGGCTCAGGGAAGCAGAAGGGAGGGGACTGGAATCATGCTGGGAGCCCCTAGAGTGGGTGTGCAGGTAAAGGACAGGGGCCTGGCCTGCACACACTGCTGGCCCCACCCCATCAAGCCTGGGAGGCTGGGGCCATGAATATACCCATTCTCCAGGCAAGGGGACTGAGGCTCCCTGGAAAACACAGTGTCTGAGACAACGAACAAGACACAGCTGTCAGGATCCAAGTCTTCACCTTTTCCTTAGAGTCAAAGAGGCAGAGTCTCATGCACGCCTATGTGTGTGCACCCACATGTGCTTGGTGGGTGTGCACAGGTGTGAGTGGGTGGTATGTGCACACTTGGTGGGTGTGCACAAGTGTGAGTGTGTGGTAGGTGTGTGAGAGTATAGGGGTTGCATGAGGTCCCCCCTGCATCACAGACACCAAATGTCGCCGACAGCAAGTGCCGGCCATCCATTTCTGCCACAAACTCCCAGAACGCAGCATGAGGTAAAGAGCCAGCCCCAGCCCCTGGGCTGCACTGGGCAGGACCGAGGGGGCGCTGAAGCCCGGGTCTTCTCCTCCCCAGGCCCCTGCACGTGTTTGCACCCTGCAGGTGAGTATCAGCCCCCCTTTACACAGAGGACTTAGAAAGGAAGACTGTGTCACCCAAGGTCACCTGGCCGGCGAGGCTCTGAAGCCCCGCTCCATCCTCCCAGCTGGGAAAATTCCAGCATGGTCCTATCGATCTGTCCCCACCTCCCTGGGTCCCGCCTTGAGGTCAGCACCCTGCGGGAGCAGGCACCGATGAATGGGCACAGGCGTGAATGAATAGAAACATGTCCCCGCAGAGGCAGAGGTGGTGTGGCCCAGGCTGGGGTCCCAGGGTAGGTCTCTGCGCTCAGAACAGACCCCCCACCTTCTTCCCAGCCAGCCCAACCCCTACCTGAGCCCTGCGGGGCTGTGCTGGACAGGATCCACTTCACCAGGCAGCACCGCATCAGGGCCTGGCGGGTGAGCCTCGGCCGCTGCCACTTGACGCCGTCCTTGCTCAGCGGTGTGCGCCCGGGGTCCCCCAGGAGACTGCCGTCTGCCAGCTTCATCACCTCCTGCAGCAGGAACAGGCAGAGCGGCCCTGAGCCCTTGCTCCCCAAGGGGACCCCCCCGATCATCCCCAGGCCGTCCTTCACTCCACCCAGGGGCTTGCCTTTCAGGGATGCATGCCAGGAGTCCGCAGTCCCGCTGCTGCCCCCGCCCCTGGTCATCTCCTGTCCGGTTTCTTAGCAGCCCCACTCTCTCTCCAAGAGCCCTTGGTCACTGCGTGGCGAGGCCACCTTGCAGGCACAGACAGTGTCCGCTAGAAAAAGCTGTGCCAGTGATCCAAGCTGGAGGAGTGGGTTGAGAATGACGTTAAAGGCCACCGTGGGGCTCTGTGCGCGCTGTGCTCCCACACACACTCCCCACCAGCCACACCAGGCTGCTCTGTGAACACATCCCTTCCACACTTCCACACGGAAAAGGTGATCCCGCTAGCAAGTCACCTCCCCCATGAAGCCCCCCTGGCTTCTAAAGCTGAGGGAGTTGGGTCTGTCCCTGCACCGATAGTTCCACAACAGCACGGACTATGCAGTGGGAATTTGCTGGAAGAACTCCCGATTGAAGGCAGGGTCTATGGGCAGGGGTTCCCCCACTGGGCACCCTGGTCTTTTACATGATGGGGCCCCTGGAAGGAGGGAGGTGAGGGTCCAGACTTACTCATCAACACCCCCGACCCTGGCACGGGCCTGGCTGTCAGAGCCAGACAGTCCCTTAGAGATCACAGCCCAAACCCCTCACTGACTAAAGCCCAGAGAGGGGAGCAGATCTGCACAGGGTCACACAGCAAAGTTGGCCTCCTCACTTCACGCCAGAGCCCTCGATCTTTTTTCACCTTGAGGCAAACCGAGGCCGCGTCAAAGGCCCGAGGACCTCCCCAGGAGGGGGCACATGGATGCGACCCACTACCCTACTCTGTGCAACCATCTGAAGAGACGACTCAAACAGCTGATGGGGGAAGGACTTCCCTGGTGGTCCAGTGGTTAAGACTTCGCCTAGTGCAGAGGGTACAGGTGCAATCCCTGGTCCCCTGGTTGGGGAACGAAGATCCCTCATGCCGCACAGCCAAAAAGCCAAAACATAAAACAGAAGCAATATTGTAACAAACTCAAAAGACTTAAAAAAACCCAAAAAACAAAACTGACGGGTAGAATCTTGGAGGAGGGAGCTGTGGGTGGGATGTTAAGATGCTGGGCTGTGAGTGTGGCTGGGGAAAGGACAGCCCGGGGTCACAGTGGAGGCCCGGAGTGCTGAGATTTGTTTTCCTACATCAATATTTTGAGCACCCTCACCTGGCCTGCCAGTGGCAGCGCCGTCCTGAGATGGGGGGTGGGGTCCCTACAGACAGTGCCCAGGCTGGCAGCAGGATGGCCCTCTGGGCATCTGTTGAGTCTGGTTTGCTGCCCTTGTGCCATGCCTCCTGCTTGGGGCGGCAGTGCCATAGGTGTGGCCTGGCCCGTTGGGTCGCTGCCACAGGTAGCCCCAGGTTCATGGTACCCGGGATGCGCGGTCTGAGCTCCAGACGTGGGAGGAAGCAGCGCACCCCCGTGGGTACCAGTTCTGAGTGGGTGGGTTGACTGGCCAGGACAATGGCCAATGGGGTGACGGGTTGGTGATGTCCCTCCAGGGTTGTGGGGTTTCACGTGTGCTACATTTGTACAGTCCTGAAGAGTATATGGGTGTCCGAAATAAATCACAAACAGATGTACATTCGAGCAAGTTCTGCAGATGCAGAGACCCCAGCGCAGCCCCTGCCTCGGTTAGGTTCTCAGGTGCAAGAAGCAGAGAGATGGACCCAGGCTGATGGTAACTGGAAAGGAATCAGCAGTGGGGAGCCCAGGCCAGTCCTCCCCGGGAAGGACAGAGAGCCAGGCTCGGAAGACAGACCAGAGCAAGAAGCAAGCTGCTGGATAGCCAGACCTCAGCCATGGCCACCCATGGGACAGCAAGGGCACCTCTGCTGTCGCTGAATAACACGACCCTGGGGATAGCACTGCCATCCCAGGGGCACTGGGACCCCCCATTGGTGTGATGGCCCTGCTGCCCCTGGAACCTGGAGGCTGCTGGGGGAGTCTCGGTTGAGGCACTAGCTCCAGTTTCAAGGTCAAGAGCAGAGGGGGCAGATTGTCCCAGCCCAGGTCATATGCCTAATCCCTGGCTGCAAGGAGAGCTGGGAAAGCAAGCTTCTGGCCTTTTAGGTTCTTTCATGCCCTCTAGGGAGGCTTTCCTGAACTTGAGGAATAAGAAAAACCCTACAAATATTCCCTAAATTGTGGAGTTTGTGCGAATGCCCAGGTGAGGGGAGGCTGGTGCATTTCCTCCTGCAGGCTCTGGTTAGGAGGGAGAACCCTCCAGGTGCTGAGTTGGCTCACGACCCCATGAGGCCCGTCCACATTTGGGGCTGGGCGGTTGGCCTCCTGGTCAGCTTTCGGTGAAGTGGCCGTCCAGACAGGACAACATCCAAACCCCTTATCCTGACTTTCAGGACCGTCCCAGCCAGGTCCCAGCTGCCGGCTTTCCCTCCTGTAGTCATCACCCCCGCAAGCCACCTCCCCAAGACACACCCTCGGCGGCACCCACCACATTCCTCCTCTTCTCCAAGGCTCAGCCTGCCAATGGGGGTCGGTTAGTGGTGCCCGGAGCCGCAGTTAGGGTGGGCACTCACCATCCCAATGGGGCAGAAACAGGGGGTGAGCGGGGGTGGCCAGGGGCCCCAGGGTGCCAGGGATGCTGAGGGAGGCACCCTATACACACACACGCACGCACGCCCATACACACACACATGCACACACATGCACACACACGCACACGTGCACACAGGCACTGCCCAGGCTGTCAGAGAGAGAGACCTTCTCCATTATTAATGATCTGCTTCAGGAGAGAAACGGCCTCGATGAATAAAGTCTTTCTTTCGGTCCAGGAGGCGGGTAGGGGGAAGTTGGGCAGCTGGTGCTTCATTATTTCCTGAATTCTTTGCTGTAGGCTCTGCATATGGGCTTAGGAGAGAACATCAGAGGGAGAAACTGAGGTGGCCCTCAGCATCTCAGGCAGGAGCTGTCTGTAGGGACCCCACCCCCCATCTCAGGACGGCGCTGGCGCTGCTGGCAGGGGCCGCCCTGACAGAGCCTGCGGCTAGTCCTGGGCACTCTGTCTTACAGCCAGGCCTGAGCTGATGTGGGGAGACCCAGCTGGTGGCCCGGGGTTCTGTCCTCCTGGGACGGCTGGGAGGGCCCACAAGACGGGGCTGAGAGCCCCCCTCATGCATGTCTATCCTGGGCCTTAAGGTCACCTCGTTGTCATGACAACCCCAGGAGGTTGGCAACACCATGCCCATTTTAAAGATGAGGAAACTAAGTCTCAGAGAAGCTTGGGGGCATGCCAGGGCCACACTGCACTCATGGCCTCCTGGTTCCAAAGTTCAGGCAGTCTTGACCAGGCTGTGCTGCTTAGCTTCCCTGGGCCAGGCCCCCGACAGGCCTTGGAAGATGGCGAGGGGCTCCCAAGCCCCCCAACCATGTCAGAGTAATGGTTTACTAATGTCCCAGGCTAAGGAGTACCTCTCCTGGTGGAGAGGGTTGGACGAGGGTGGAGGAGCCCTGGGCCATGTCCTCCAGCTGGCTGAGGGCCAGGACCCCGCTGTGAGGCCCACAGGCAGGGCCTGAGATGGCCTCCCACTTGAAATGGGTGAGGGGGGTCCTGATAGCGAGGAGAGGAAGGGCCCACAGTGTCTGGGCATGAGCAGGGCCACACAATGCCAGGAGAGGCCGAGGCCCGTGTACTTGGCCCATCAGAAGGTGGGGGAGGGAGGAGGCCGGGGGAGTGACCACCGGCTCATCCTCATGACTAGCTGACACTCGTCTGTCTGAGGGAGGGTCTGCCGGGGCTGGCAGGGAATGTTAATGGCCACTCCGGACTCCCTCCTCCTGAATAGGGGGGCTCTCGGGCATCGAAGGAGGGAGCCCCGCAAGGTGACACCACCTCACTCCCTGATGCTTCTGTGCAGGGAGGTGACAGAGTTGACGAGGCCTGGGTTGGTGAGGAGACTGCAGCACAAATTAAATCCCCCGCCAGCCTGCTTTGAGGCCCCAGTGGCTTCTGCTGCATGTCAGTAAAACCCAGGGCCTGTGCGGACCTGCAAACCCCTCAGCCAATCCCACCTGACCCTGTGAGTCCATCTCGCCTTCACTGCCCGCCTCACCTGTTCCGCGCGTGCCCCCACATGCCCGGCTTGAGCACCTCACAGCTTTGCACCTGCTGCTCCTCTGCCACACCCTCCCCCCGCCCCCCGCCCCTGCACACGCCCTCCCCCCCCCCCCCGTCCACTCCTCCCCCCTCCCTCTACCCACTCCTCCCCCCTCCCCTGTCCACTCCTCCCCCCTCCCCCTGCACACTGCTCCTGTACATTGTCCCTGTCAGGCCTCAGTCAGACCAGGTGATGGGAGACCCCTCTCTCTAGGCTGCCATTTACCATCCATAACAACACCTGCTGTGCTTCCCAGCACACTGCTTTTGAACCTACCCTATTTATTTGTTTCCCGAGGTGCATTTCTTTCTCTTTCTCCTGGAATGTCAGCTCTGAGAGCTGGCCCTGGCCTGCTGTGTGCGCTGCTCTTCCGCATCACAGAGCCCGACACCCAAGAGACCCTCACGTCCAAAACTCAACAGTAAAAGAACAAAGCATCCAGTTAGAAAATGGGCAAAAGACAGCCACAGGCATTTCACCGAGGAAGACGTGCAGGTGGCAAATAAGCCCATGAAAAGTTGTTCCACATCATTAGCCATCAGGGAAATGCAACTAAAACCATAAGGAGATACCACTCGTACCATGGGAACGGCTAAAATCTCAAAAGGTCACATACTATATGATTCTATTTATACAGCACTTCAAAATAACATTTTAGAAGTGGAACCGATTAGCGGGCCAGGGGTTCAGGATGGGGGGAGACGTGGAAGGGGGGAGGTGGGTGTGGCTATAAAAGGGCAACACGAGGGGTCCTCGCGGTGGTGGAACTGT